CATCTGCGGTGATCCCCCTGCCGGAGCAGTTACCACCACCGCTTCATAAAACCCTGTAAATTGTTTAGAGAAATAGTGATGGATCAGTAAAGCAAGCGGGATTACGTTCCTCTGTGGTACACATCATAACAAGCTAATGAGCCTTGGATGACTAGAAGGCATAAATCAGACAAATCTCGAGATGTTAGACCTAACTTCCGTAAGCCGTCAGCAGAACGCCTGTACAGGTAGCCGCGCTCGGTGAAGATCAAGGGAATGTGCCTAACTCCTCTAGGTACTGGCTGGCTACCCTTCATTAGAGCTAGCAACTGATGGTTCACTTCAGCAGTATTGTATTTCTCGATCTTCTGCACCCACATTCGTTCTACATTGAGACCGATGGTAACGGCTACATCCATTACTAAGACTTCGTTTCGAGAAGCAACGACCAGGTCCGGCTTGCAGTAGCTCTTGTCCTTACCTACTATAGGCTCCTGCAGCACTTGCAACCCACGCTTACGTACTAAAGTGGCTATCTTCCGAGCTACACGGTTGTGCCGTGCACATCGGGCGTCATGCGTGATCGCACATTTCTGCAGGACGTGAGTGACCGTTTCAGGGTACCCACATAACCCTCGGCACTTGAGAGAAGCTCCAGCCTTACGGGATACGCCCCTACTACTACGCACTTTTGATGGTAAGACGCCTGCCCTAAGCTTAAGCCCCCTGATGTAAAGACGGGGGAAGACCCTCTCAGGACGACGGACCCAAAGGGTACTCGACTTGTCCATTAGGTCCATACGAACTCCTTTGAGGTCTACCATCTCGGTGTACTGAGATCTCCAAGCTTGAACAGCCTCCGCTCTGTTACCTACCTCGGTGTTTCCAACTCTAATAGGTAGACTGGCTACCCGCTTGTCCACTAGGACTGCGTCATCCGTGGCTAGGCTTTTAATCCACTCGTCCGGAGACGTGAGTAGCCTGCGAAACTTCTCTCGTTGCGCCAGGGGTATGGTGATCCCCATCTGCGGCACACCCATACCTCCATCCGCTGAGCTAACATAAAGGAAGGCCATCGAGGTGTCCTTCGGTAGTCTAAGCCATCGCCGGATTGCTTCTCGAACCATCCCATCCACTGCCTTTATGGTGTTGCGGTGCGCGTTACCTAGTACCATCTCATACTCAATTTTCTTCAAGGCGAAATCACACAGAATCCGAATTCGTTGCTGAGGCTTCAGTGGCGCCTTACTTATTTCACCTATCATAGCCTCCAGCTTAGTAGTAGTCTTAGGAGGTTTCCGTCCATTCCAGGTAAATGGCAAACCGAGGTAGCGGACCTCCTCGCTGGGCATCATTGGCGGTATAACTTCACCTCCGATCTTGTAGGAGTGAGGCTCCAGTACGACTAGCTTCCTCTTCCCTAGTTTCCTGATCGTCATAGACCGGCACTTGGCGATGTTCAATGCCATGCCAGCCTCTCGTAGTCCTTTAGTTAAGCCTTTCAGCTTAGCTTGCAGTTCTGAGGGAGAGTTAGCCACTAGCACCAAGTCATCCGCATAGGCCAGCGCTCCGTTCGGATCACCAGCCACAGCAGATTCCCCGAGCCCCTGTCCCGAAGTCGCAAGGACCTCGTCCATAGTCATAATGAAAAGCAGAGGAGACAGGGGATCCCCTTGCCTCACTCCCCTACCGCACTTAAGGCGCTCACCTTCCAACAGTACTTCCGATTGAGTGTACAGTTGGTCCAGATATCGCAGTAGAGGCCCAGGGGCACCCTGGCTCTGCGCCGCCCGAAGCACCGAGTCAAACGAAACAGTATCAAACGCTTTGGCTACGTCCAAGAACGCAACCGCTGCATCCGAACTGCGCATCTGCGCTCGACGCAACAAACAGTGCAAGGCGTAGGTAGCCTCTAGACACCCATCCCGCTTCTGGAATGCTACCTGAAGCGATGTTAGCTTCATACTTGGTCTCCAACGACGCGCCAGGATCTTGTGGAACGTCCTTAGTAGCACTGAAGCCACAGCTAACGGTCGGTACTCGTTTGGGTGTTCCGGCTTGACTACTTTGGGTATGAGAGATATCCGCGCTAACGAGGCAGCCTTAGTAGGGATCTGGAGTACCAGCATCAGGTTGAAGACCTGCGCTAGCACACTGATGTTCATACGCCTTAGCTCTAGAGTGGTCACGGCATCTGGTCCTGGGCTTGTGGTGTTCGAGCCCTTGAGTGCATCTTGGATTTCCGCAACGGTGATTTGGGAGATTAAGTCGTAATTCTCAACCGCATCCGGGGGCGGTCTTGTGCCCACCGAGCCTGGAGTAGTAAAAGTGTTCCGCCAGTACTCCTGGCTACCGTCGCATAACTTGTCCGACATCTTGTAGATGTCTTTCCAAGTTCCATCCAATATACAGCCTGCTGCGTCCTTGACCTTCTTCCGGTAGAGAGTCTGCACCTTTCCGTAAGTCACCTTACGAATTTTCCGCTTGCCTACTGCGACTGCGACTTCTGGTTTCCTCCGCTTGACCCACTTAGATGGAAAGCATGTATCCAAATGGGTCTCAAACGTAACCTGAACCTCGGCGATGTTCAGCTGTCCTCCCCGGATGTTCAGGGCTAGATCTAGAAGCAAGTCTGATTGGAGCCTCTCGTCGCGGTGTTCCGACAGCTCCCTTACTATAGTGTCGAGCATTGCTGCCCTCCACTCCTGCTCTGCGCCATCTCGCTCTGCCCTAACCGGCGAGGACGGAAGCACTAAGTCTACCAACCTTTCCAGGTCAACAAACTCAATGTCCATCAATGTCGGAAAAGTCAAGAGTTCGACGGGTCCTACACCAGAGGGGGATCCGCCCAAGTCCATGGCGGGACTAGGCGTTTCCGAGGCTAGAGGAGATCCTAAAGGCGTTCGGATCTTGATCCTCTTGGCCACCCTCCCTAAGTCATCCACTTCGACTGGAGAACTTTCGTGTGCCTTCCGTTTGGTACCACCCTGGGCCGACTTCTTGTATGGTTCAAGTCGCCAGCTCATCTTCCTCAGTTGCTTCTTAATCCCGTCCGCTGGCCGTCCCGGAAAAACTGAGGTCAGTTGTTCGTATACCTGCTGTTTCTGGACACTAGTAGTCCACAGTCCTTCGGCATAACGTAGCAAGTGGCTGCACTCTACCTTAGTCCATTCACCCTTCCGTCGCGGCAACCCTTCCAGGCGTTCCGCATTCAGCTCATCGGGATGCCTATGCCGCTTGTGCTGAGACAAGCTTCTCTTGCTGGCATATTTCTGTCCACAGAAACATGCAAATTCATTACTCGTACCAGAAACTGAACCAATAACCTCCCCATCTAAATCACAATCTCGGGTCCCACCCGGATTCGAACAGCGGGGTCGAACAGCTTCAGAAAGTCTGCTCATATATTTCGTGATAAGGTTGTGTTTCATGATGGTACTTAACCCGCTTTATACTCCAGCAGGTGAGTCAGTCCTGAAGGAGGTTGGGCTGGATCTTAGCTGAGCAATGTTAGCATCACCCGTTACCAGGGGTCGCCATGTGGAGGCGCCCAGACCGTGTAACTACAACTCAATTAGACTCAACGCACGTACAGGCTGAATACAGAGCCGAAGCCCTCATCTCTAATTAAGCGTTCATTATATCCCGTCCCTGCAGCCGAAGCCGCAGCAACAGGTACGCAACTGTGCGATCGCGAGTCAAGAGAGTCATAGTTACTCCCGCCTATTTCCGTCCCAATAAACACAAAGATAGCGTGATTGGAATCCGCGTTTTTCACAGTAAGAAGTCCGTTTACCGACGCATAGTAGTGGATACATTGAATTGAAGCACATCAATCTTGACAACAGAGGTTCATATTCCCTTTGAAACGGTTACGCTTCCTCTGTGCTGTCGCCGGGGCAGTCCAAGTCCACTAATTGGAAAACCTTATTTAAGAACAGTTAATAAGTAATCCACCATTTCATACCTGCTGACTGCTTGCATTACCTTTGCCAGAGTCGCGGCATACGTTGCCATGAATCGATTTAAAGTATTTCCTGACATATTGTGTTGTGTCATCCGGTGACATATTGCTTCCTTAGACTTGTTTTAATAGAGCAGATATGACAGGGATGAAAGGACAGAGGTCGCTAATTTTGCATTTCGGTGAATAGCTTCGTTTTCCGGAATCCGTATTTGTTGCGGCAACCGGAGTAATTGACCTCCGCCATCAATGACCGCGTTAGAAGACGCTGCATCATGAGGCGTACAGTCTCCGACAATGTGTCTCCATGCACACCTTCCAGATAAGTATGCTGCATGCATATGTGAGGTATCAAAGAATCCTACCAATTGTTGCCTGCGTCCTGCATCCTGCATTAGTATATCGAACGACTGTAGTTCCTCCACCGATGTAATTGGCAAAGGAAGCTGCGTTGCCTGCTGCCCTTGTTGCCCGGCAATGGTCGCAGCCATCGATCTCATGCAACTCTTCACATACTCCAGTGTCTCCATAATTTTCCGAACATTACCTGCAAATGTATACCCTGTTTCAGAAATGTAGGAAGTTACCATCTATGGACTCCAGTTTATTCTTCAGTTGGTCCATATCGCCTGCAGGAAAATGGTAAAACCTCAAGTACATGCTTACGGTGAATGCCATTCCAATCGCTTGTAGGAACGGTGATGAAGGAGGAGTCAGAAGTAGACGCTAGGACTAGGACACTTAAGTTACAAAGTATAAGCACCAACCCGAATCTGTGCGTTCGAATTTTCACCACAGTGAGATGCAGTATTGAATGCTGAAGTTTCATATTAAGAAAAATGTACCCCTTGAAAATGAAATAAAATGTGTCAGCTTATACGCCGTAACGGCGCTTCGCTGCCGCGCGACCACCACCAGTCGCGCGCGGGCTGAGTATACCGCGAGGACGCCCACCCCTACGCGGATTCGAACCGGTGACCTTATGGTTGGAAAGCAAACGTGCCGACCACTCGGCCACCGACTTGTTTGTATCCACTCATGTTGTATTGCTGGGAAGACGACTGACGTGGGTTTTTACCAATCGAGCGGGCAACTCAGTTAAAGAAAAGATAGGTGGAGAGCCATAGGGAACGGCTGTGGGGACCATGAGCTTTTTGGGGCGGGCTCAAAGTCATCGTCGTCCGAAATCAAACGACGTGGTATACGGCTGTGATGAAATGTTCTATAGATGTGGCAACTCACATGGGTCTACTTGGGGGTGTCTTCGGGTAAGTTCGAAAGGTCGACGGAGTTGGCTATTGCACCAACCTGATCGAAATCCACTGAAGACTTATGACAGCACAGAACTTACTAGTTCGCCGAAGTATAGTCACGTGGGCGAACGTACAGTTCTCGTCCGCCGACCGGTGTTCCCTTAGCATTTAGGTATTCCGAAGGGGGGACATTTGATAGCAACGCCCGGCGACCGTCCCCAAGCAGCCAAGAGCTGCTTATGGTTGTAACCGTGGATCCGATGAACGTACTCAGGGAAACGACGCAATGTTATTGAGGCCATAACGCTGAAATAGATGACTTATGCAAGTAATCTCTATCCGTTTGCACAAACACTGACTCTGCAGGGCACTGAGGAAATCACCTCGCGTGGTGATGAAACGTTTGCATGCCAGTTGCGAAGCTCGGCGAACAGTTGAACCCAGGAACGATCAACATGAAGTTATTTTAAACATGTCAGTCTGTGATGGACGCCCTGCGATCACACTGCATAAAGAGATATTAAGGAACTCGTGTAACAGGATAAGTGCAACCATTTGAGAAAGAATCCCAAGTCCGCAGGTAAATAATAAGACATTAAAAATCAGTCCAAGGAAATAAGCAATAATCATTGGCATTAAAATAAATGGTCAGAAAATCCATGGAAAAAAACACAAGTAGAGCAAAATAAAAATGAACATTTAGGGACCCTGAACGTGCACAATACTTCACGTATTACCATCCGGAGTTCTAAAGGTATGCAACAGGGGAACAATAGCTAAGAGGTCATTAACAGAGGAAAACACATTTGCAAAGTATATCGCCCACACGGAATGATTGCAGATCATCGCTGATGCCTGAGGCTGCAAATATGTTGCAAACGGAAGAAGGTATCCGGAAATGGTACAACGCATGCACGCCTGTGAAAGCTTTACAAACCATGGTCTGAGCCTATATGGTTAAACCGGACAATGCAATACGTTTAATCAGATACAATGATCACGTTATCAGTAGCGCTGCATGCGTACGTTGTACCATCCAGAATCAACACTTCACGACGTGTTAATCCACGATGTTGTATGCGAGTGACCTGAGATTCAGGCCAATGCGATAAAGTGGAGACGTCCGCATATTTCAAGCACCGTCTCACAATCTGCGCCGCGGAATTCCGTGCGTTTCGCACTACTCGCTTCAGGACGACTATATAAGACTGGAATGGAAATGCGGAGAAATCATCAAGCGTTCCATGCACATCCACGTCCAATGCTAGGTGGTTTAGGCAGTGAACATTGAACGTCATCTGGTTTTTCCCGTACAGGTGGTAGTACCCGTGTATGAAATTGAGCAACAGCCGTTTCGCGAAAGACCAGTACTGCTTATGCAACAGCAGGTGACAGAAAATGTATATTCCTAGATGAAGGTGTAAAGTTGTAATAATCTCCCGGTAGCACGTTTATCAACATTGCAGGCGCGGCGTATAAAACAAACTGTCTAAATTCCGCTACTTTCCAACCTTTAGACATAGATATACCTCTGCAACACCGAGGGAAATCACATGAGCATGCAGTCCTATTTTGTAGCAATAGGTAATCTATAGCACGCAACGTATCATTAGGCAATTTCATTTTCTTCCATTCCGGTGCCTCTATCCATAAACCGATTATACGTCGTACCACCCCTAAGCACACGCAATGCATGTAGTCAATGGGAAATTTGGAAACCATATCAATACCGAGGTATTCAGAAGGGGACATTAAAGATCGCTTCCTTTTCATAACCGATTTATGAGACCTAAGGCGGCATGTGGTAGATAGGAAGGTAACCTTCTGGTTGACATAACTACCTCTCTGAATGCATTTGCCGCAACTGCTGTACCCTGTGTGCCCCTTCGTCCTCTTCACATATGCTCGAGCAGGCGCGTCGCATATAACACCCCTTAATTCAACAGATATGGACCTGGAGCGTGCAGGAACCGTAAAACCCGTTGACAACAACACCTGCAAATCGAGTGTCGGCGGACTTAAAAATTCGTTCACATCCGGTTTCTCAGGACCACCGTAAACACCGACAACAAATGGTTTTGACTTCACGGGGTAAATAGATCGACACTGAATCGACCAGATCTGCATTTTCGAGGAGTTGAACGGGGAGAAAGCATCTATGTGCAGCTGGACAACGACCCTTTCCGGCGGCTGGATGTCTCCATCCTGGTAAATACTGCATAGACTCCGCAGCAGCCCAATGTGTCCATGTGCACCAGCACCAATGCTAATGGTCTGCACATTCCTTGGGGTTCTCACAAGCGTTCGGTAATCTTTCGGTATCCAAGGCATGCTCTTGCGAAGGGCGGCAAGCAACTTGTTCACGGAAGAAATGCTGGGTCATGTGCTTCGCACCCATTGTCTTAAGTCTTCCATAACATCAGTGGTTGCAATCCGATCGGCGTCCCTGCAGATAGGTGATTGCTCCACTTCCAATTCTGACGATGAAACCCATACACCACTACCAACGGTTGGCACTGTCGTTGTACTCCGCTGTGCTACGGCGTTCCGCAGGCTTCGTTGTACCTGTGTGTCATTTGTGCGCAAACGCCCTGTTGTTTCTTATATGGGGTAATCGGCAATAACATAGGGAGATTATAAGTTATCTGTATCTACTAACGCTTCACACATTGTAGACGTTGGGATCTCATTTCCCTTTCCCTCCACAGGACGATCTCTTTGATCAATTTGTCCGAGTCGTCTTTTCGCGCGCAAATACCGATCCCGCAATGTGCGGTCACTAGGCGACATGAAAGGCCATTGTCGGTTTGTACACCGAGGTCTCGTTAAAAATGCTGAACATCAAACGCGTTATGTTCAAGGTGGCAACGTACATATAAAAAGACCTTCACGAGTAAAAGTACCGAAACGTCCAGCAATGTCTCTACCGATATCACTAAGCGAATGCGCCCTGCAAAAGAGAAAAGAAGCTCACAATGAAGCTATCTACGTAGAGCACGAGTGATTGCGCAAGTGAAGATAACAATGCGCAACCTGTGCGTTAGGGCGATAGCAACTAGGGCAAATCAACACACCACAAGCTTGGGAAATAAAACCAAGCTGAACAAATTCTGTTTGCAATATTATTGTAATGAAAACACTTATGGTGCTTCTTAAATCTAACCCACGTCAAAACGGCTTCTTACCAACTCAAACTTGTTTCTGAGCTGTCGAAAATGCACAACGAAAAAGAAAGTTCAGTACAGCGAAGCAGAATTGGTAACCAAACCGAGCAGTGCCGGAGGAAGCTAAAAAATTAAGTGTGCGGCAAAATTCAAAAAGAGGGATGATGACCCTTTCTAAGAAATCTTTACGATTTTTCGACAGAATAAAGCGGTTAAACAATGTTATCCTTATTTATCAGTTAACGTAACCTACACATATATGTGCACCCCTCGCTGGAATACGGAGTAGATTAAGTAGCCATCAATAATTTACTGAAGGACTGAAGCACTTTTGAAGGATTTTGACTACTGTGTGTGAACCTGGCGCTACTCTAGTTGCACAACCGAAAATGTTTGTTCGTAGAACGCAGCATGTGGCACCTGTATCAATTACTAGTTGGGCTTGGTGGCCGTCTATCAGGTCGGGCATTGTAAAAGGGGACATAGAGACTTTGTACTTAGATAAACATACCGGTAACACGGAGATTGAAGGGGACTCACCGTTGCTTTTTCGTGGCTTCAGGGGCAGATTATGACCTCATCGCTGGGCTCTGGTACCGAACCTTCGACAGTAAGGGCAGTT